CTCTGAGAGTGCTTTATGTATGTCATTGTATATCTGCCTTGTTGCTGTATGTCTGCATGTGTGTCTGCCTCTCCGTCTGTCTCTATCACATTTCACATTTCACATTTCGGACTGATATGCTCCCGCAACGACGACCACTGAGGGAGCAAAGACCGGAGCGAGCCGGAAGGACTTGGTCTTTCACAAGCCTTCGGCTCCCGATCTATGTGAGAACACTTGGGGCCAAAGCTCGATTGACGAAATATATACAAGCCTGCATTTGCTCCACATCTTCATCAAGGCGAAACAGATACTCCAGAAATGCCTGGCCAGACATAAGCTGCCACCAGTCACCCAACAATGAAGCACGGCTTCGCGCGGTACCAGGGCACTCACAGAGAGCATGCCTGACAGTCACCAGACAGGCCGCACACCAAGGACAACAGTCCCGAAGGGTGGGAGCCTCTGAGTGCTGGCCAGCTGACGGCCATCGGCCAGAACAACGAACAAACAACCAAGTCCTTAGCGAAGATAAGGTACTTGGCCCGAGATCCAACCTTGCCAATGACCAAGGCAACGCAGTGCCGGTAACCGGAATCTGGTCATAGCGAAGCCCAAAACCCTCGCAGACTTGTTGCAAATGCCCGCGTCTCCACGCGTCATCGTATGCATGAATAACTGGAGCGACGACATGCTTTCTGTACTGCTTGATGAGAAGCTTTCTGTAAGCCGGGTCGCTCTTCGCCATGGCCACCCCAGGAGCAAAGGCAGTATGCTCGGTGATTTGCAGAATCCAGCCATGAGAAGAAAGTCGCGTCATGCACTGGCACACATGTGTTATCCATGTCGGCAAGCCAGTGAGGGTAGCAGCCTGTACCATCACCGAGGCAGGGTGATCATCTGGTAGGCACTGGAGTCTTGCCAACATTGTGATGGCTGCCTCCATCACAACCGAACCCAACCGCGCTTTCCATCCCAGCTGGGATGGCGGCAACGCGCGCTTAACATTGATGCCAGGGTTGCAACCAAGGATCTCCAAAGCCCACTTGTACTGAGCATTATTCAACACCGACTCGAAACCGGGGGCTAAAACCAAAAAAGGGGCCCTATACTTAACAATTGCATCAATGCGAGACGGTATCTCGGCTGCGATTGCGGTGAGTGGAATTCCAGCACAAATAGCAGCATTGCAAAACCCTGAAAGAGCATTGTTAGCATGGGCAACAACAGAAGAGAGCATAGGTTCCATACTCACTTGGTCATCCAGCAGGAATCCAAGACACGTATGGGTGGAAGCAACTTCACACCCCACTGCACCCGGACACGGAGGTGGGCTATCACACATGGCCATCACCGTCGTCTTCCCAGGCTTGCGATTAATCTTACTACCGGTCGAAGCAGCAAAACGTTCACACGCAGACTGGGGACTCGTTGCAATGACTGCTTTAAGGGACCCTACGCTTGGGCAAGGCATACTCGTATTGTCGATATACTGGATAGGGCCAACTGAAAAACGACCAAGGCGTTCCAAAAGCAAGATGCGATCTGACAGCTTAGGCAACAAGGACAACCACGAAACCGTGAGCTTACAACTTTCAAACCAAGGTGACGAGTCTGCAGCCACAGCATCCTGAATGCTGCAGATTGCATTGTGCAAGACTTGTGGGTCTGAAGGCACGTTATCCAAGTCACTCGCTGGACTGGCATGATCAGCTTCAAGCAATGCTTGGTGTCCGAAAGGGGGCCAGATAGCACATGTACCCTGCGGCACTGCGCCCTCCAAGGCATCGCGTAAATCAACCGCGAAAGCATTGAACAGAAAAGATGAAAAACGGCGACCTTGAGCAGTTCCTTGTCCCAATGAAAAAACTGCAGAGATAAACCCGTGCAAGGACACTACTTGGGCGTCGCTGGCCAGAATGTCGTCCATCAGTAGCCACCAACAACCCTTAACACCTGCCCGAAAAATGTTCTGCAACATGGTGGGAATATCGGCCAAATCAAAAGCCGCCTGGAGATCGGCAATAGCAAGGTACGTCGGTGCTCCCTGCGCCCGACGGAGTTGGCACAAGAGCACAATAGCCAAAACAGCTGACGCAGGGTCGCTGCGACCGCCAAGTTGCCCGGGCCCGCAAAAAGATTCAATCGCAGGCTTGTTCTGTTGAACCCACACAGCATCTAAAACTTGTGCAATGTCGGAACCAAAAGAAACAGGTCTTAAATTACCTAAGCGCCGAACCATCTTAGGACCAGATTTGCGTATGGGGCATATCATTCGCAACGACCAGAAAGATGATGTCACGCCGACCCACAACGCCAGATTTACCAGAAGGCCAGTGAGGCGTCTGCCCTCTTGACAGGCAGCTTTCAATGACGCCGCTGTCCCATGCAACCATCGCTTCGAAGAGGGAAAAGAATCCAAAATCTCAGCAATGCTCACGTCAGAAACATGTGCCGAAACGGCCGCATGCCCCTCAGCATCAGCACCATCATGAAATCCGCCATTAGCCCGAATGCGTGAAACCAGCTTGCTGGTTCCTGATGATTCCGCAGCAACAGAGCATTGGGATACTTTATCCTGCAGGTCGGACATCACGAGTGTAGCCATTTCATGGGGCCGGAGAGGCTGCCCAGTATCAGGAGAAACCAACATGATAGAACTGTCCGTATTTGAAGAAATACAACGCGAAATCCAATTCTTAGCTAAGATCTGCCTGTATGCTGTCTGCTTGTTTGTGGGATACACGTAGGACGACATCTGTGATCTGTGGGCTTGCCTGCATGTATGTATATGAATGTCTGTCCGTCTGTTTGTCTGTCTGCAAACATCTTTTCCTTTGCATATGGGTAACCTGTCTGCTCTGCATGTATCCTACACCCCTTGCTTGCCCGGACTCCGACATCCGAAACGTCACTGATGGCTTGTCTTTGATATACAGTAGTATGTTGCGACGCTAGTAGATATTGTTAGATGTTAGATGGCCTTTCATTCGGCAGGCTTTATGACTCGAGCCTCCTAAATATCCTTAGGAGCGCCGGGAAAGAGGGTTTGCGAACGCCCCCCCAACGTCGCACAAAGCATTCACAAGCCTCCGCCATGTCTCCTTCGTACCCGTATCGTCGTGATTCAACGATCTTATCTTATTTATCTTCGTGGGGCTAAGGAAACATCAACTGTTTCGAATCCTGGATGCAGAGGCAACGCTCATGACTTGATCAAGCTCCTGCGAGCGGCAGGACAGCAGGCAGGCGTCGGTGGGCAAGTCGGGCAAGATTCAAAAATCAGAACTGTTTTGTCTTGTGACAGGGATGCCTGTTTTGCGTAATGAGACTCGTCATGCCTTTTCGACCGTGTGATCACTGCCGACATCCTGGAATCTTCGACCATCCTCGAGTCTCTCGCTCGAACTGGGTCACGCTCGGTCAGTTAGCTGAAGCAGCAGCTTTGCGAAGGTGTCGCCGGACCTGGCCAAGCGGCATGACCAGAACAGGTGATGATGCGTGCATGCCTCCAACATGCAAGGCGTGTGTTGTGGGCCACTTCGAAAGTCTGTGCCATCAATTAGGGCGAGCAGCCCAGGTTGGACCAGGGCCCAGTGACCTCCAGTGTCAGTCAACGTGCCGGCAAGGGAGGAAAGATCCTGGTGCAGACTTATGGAGGGGTTCATTCGGAGCTTTATAATATGCGGCATTTCTTTCTCCTAATGCCTCCGGAACGAAGCATCTGTGTTTACAGTTTACATAGAACATCGTCGCAGCCCATCTGCAGATATTCATGTGGGCATGCAGCATGACCAGAACGAGAGTGAGGGACAGAGAGAGAATGCGGGGGAAAGAGGGGGAGACGACATGTATCTATGCATGTATGAATGAACGACTGACTGAATGAATGAATACATGAATACATGTATGTTTAATTGTGTACGTCTGTGGATTATTCTACCTAGCTGTCTATCTGTCTGTCCATCTACAACAGTTATCATGAACATCATTATCATCATAGATATTGCGGTTTTCTGTATTAGTATGAGTTTACAAATATGTTCTTTATTGCTGTGTTTGTATGATAGTACATATTTGCACGATATTTCTAGTAATTACGATTATTAGTGTAGTTGTTAATATTCGTATGAGTAGTACTATTCGTGGTATGACAATCTTTAAAACCAACAGCAATCCATCGCAACATTAATATCATCGCGGTCTAGTATCATAACTATCAGTTCTCACCAGTGTCATTGTAATAATTATGACCATGGTCACTATTGTAGTTGTTTCTATTTAGACTTAGCATTGTTGTTACTACTGGTATTCTTATGACGTTTGTGTATATATTAGTTATCTCGTCTTTTAACTATATTATGATATGCGTGTGCATGCAGGTTATGGCAAGTTCTAGAGCCCAAGTTCCAACACAAAACATGACCTTTTCCTTCAAGATCGTTGAACTGTAGCAGGTTTGGTGTTGGCAGGTCCTGAAGAATTTTGGACCATCTAGGCTCAGGAAGATCCGAAGCCTCCCCGGTCCTCACACCGCCCTGTGCCTGCCAAGGAAGGGTTCTGGCCTCAAAATTTGACGGGCCGGTGCTGGAGCTCCAGCCTTCGGACTTTTTTACGATACAGTCAGGGAACACTCCGGTACGGTAAACTGGTGAACCCAACCGTGGCTGGTGATGCGAATTTCGGCAGCTCAAACATGGAAACAGCTTGCATCTGAGAGCCTTAGGCTCCAAGGGCGGCAAAGGCACCAAATCCGGGCGAGGCTACCGGACATGATTGACAGATTGCAAAGTGGTGTGAGAGTGGGTGAAAATCCGCAAATTCAGGCCGTATCCACGACTGAGTGTAAGGGCATGCATTGCCCTCGTGGGTTTGTGCGAGAGTGTGCAGGGTGGTCAGCTGCACCAGCGCAGAGCATGCACTTCGCCAATCTCGCAATAGCAACGGCTCCTTCCCGGAATGGTGCATGCTTCGGAACTGACGAAGCATGCACGAGCGTAGAGCCCCCGGGGTCCAACAAGATGGCAGGATTGCCCACCACCGCTGAGGCAGCAGGCAGGGCCAATAGCTCAGAGAAGCACAATCGCTTGGAGGGTGCTGCAGACTTCACCGACAGATATGCCAGGTCCATCGAACGACAAGGGTGTGAGGATAGAAGGGGTGCAAGATGACGTCCAGCCGATCACGAGATTCCAGGACGTTCGTTCAATTTGCAAGTCTTGCGTTCGGCTCTCACCGCTTTTCGCTCCATCAGCCTTGTGTCCCGACTCAACCCATCACTGGCCAGAAGTAGCTAAAACCTTTTTTGACGAGGGGTACGAGTACGTGGCTGGTATCACTGTGTGCAAGTACACGTCGATCTTTGCAGAGGACTTTGTCGCCCAGACCCATCTTGCTCTTAAGACTTCTACCGGGAGTTTCCCACAGAAGCCCATAGCATTAAACCCCAACCGTTAGCAGGACTCTCCTTTTCGGAAGGCGATCCGTAACTCGGCTGTGGTGCTGGGTTTCTGTTGCTGGACATTCGGTCTCTCGATCTTCGTGCGTGGCCACGATAGGATAGAGTCATGCTTTGCCAGCTGTGGAGCCTCTGATTCATTTCGGGCTCCGTGGGGGAGGAGAGGGGCGAGAGCGGGGCGGGACGCTCCCACCGAGAACACTGCCGAGGAAAAGAGCTCTTGGCGGCGGGCTACACAGAGCCGACTCCTATTCAGGACCTCAAAAGCTCCCAGGTGAAGCGTGCAGATGTCTTTCATGTGCAGGCTTATGGGTGGCCTTTGCTGCTTAGTGGCCGCGATTGCATTGCCATCGCGAAGCCCCTTGGCGATTGATTGGTGGCTGCAAGCAGCAAAAGCTGTTGCACGAGGCATTGGCTTCAGGTCACAGTGTCAACCAAGATAGAGTTTGTTTTGTTTTGTTCGGCGACAGTGTCCAAAGGTTAGCCGTAGAGAACACGAATCGTGCGCCGCGACGTTGTCACCATGACAGTGAGGACTGGCTCGGGCAAGACTTTGGCCTTCCTGCCTCCCGACGGAAATTGTACAAGCTAGCTATGTTAGCATCCTAGTGATTGGTAGAGATGCTCGGATGCATTCATCGAAGCTGGCCTATTATCTGTTCTTGACTTCGAACTCAAGCTGACGGACAGACATAGACCAACAGAGCGTTTTGGAAGTCTGAGGCTGCCAGCGCTTCACAACATTCACAGTTGGCTCCAGGCTCGGGCAACGGCTAGGTAGCGACACTCATTAAAGGAAGCTTCGCGGCGGGGCATGGCTCGTTTGACACGAGCAGAGCAAGCACACATTCAACGAGTGCGACGGTCAAGCACAATTGCGATTTGCACAGGGTGTTTGTGTCAGAAGCCTATCCGATTGTTTGTGCAAGAAGCCTGTTCGAGAGCAATTATCGGAGTGCTGTGTTCCCAACTTTCATTTCGAACGAGTAAGCTGTATGTATCTACAGGCAGCGCGACGTCGTGATACAAGCTGGCAGCTGATCAAGCATGAGTTACATGGGTGAGGAGAGATGTGGTGACTCACATGTCTCAGCATGCTGCATTGCCAAGCCATCCTTGGATTCTCGTGTTCCAGGAAGCGGGCCCGGGTGCTGACGGTGCTGGTCCGCTTGCATTGGTGGCCGTGGGCTTTGTGCTGCTGCTTTCATCGAATGTTGTGAAACGCTTCTGCGCATGTCGATATTCCAATTCCGCATACATCGGGCCCGCTTGCATCGATGTGCAAGCCCTGCAACATGCCAAAGAGTTCTCAGTCCCTGTCCGGTCAGTCCTCAGTCCCTCACCCCCCGACAGACCACCCTCTCCAAAACACCGAACCCACCGGCGATTGCGGCTTCAACCTCTCAACCAAAGACGAAAAACAACACATGCCAAAGATCCGCAGAGCTGGCGTTTCTGGCGTGTTGTTGCTCTGCGTATTGCTTCAAGCACCCCTGTCTGAGACCAAAACCAACAAAGACAAGGATTGATAGAAACTGCTGCAATGTGTGAGTTGTATTTATCTTTTGGATTTGGTGTTTGCGCATGCTGTGGACAGTTGACACTCTGTAACAAGCCCAGTAAAACCGAAACCGAAAACACAAAGCAGCTCCGGCATTATCCGGATCATGATTTGTGTTGTCTTTTTGTCTCGTCCTCCGCGTTATTCACTGCCAGTGCCCTTGCCCGAAATCCCTTTACCAAAACCCTAGACTCTACCGAAGAATCTACAAAGCGCTTGAGTATTCACACCTGTGCTGTTTCTATTCATCAACTTCCACGACAGCTCTTAGTAGAATGAAAGGCTAGCACATTAGTTCTAGAAGCTGCTGAAAGAGGTTAGTTTTTGTTGGAAAGCAAAGACACCTTGATGCTTTCGGCTGCTTGTTAGACTCTGTTTTCCTCTGGGTTGTCTTGCTTTTGGTGCTTGTTTGCCGATGTTGTTGTGTTTTGTCTTGGTTTCTTGTTTCATACCAGTCTTTTTTGACATCAAAATTTTGAGTTGGCTCACAATCTTAAGTCTGTGCGTCATTTGCAGCAGGTCATGTCCATGGAGTTGCCGTTCTTTTTGCAAAATCGGGTTTCAAATCTTGGACCCAGCAAATCATACTGTGTGTGTTCAATTTGATTCGCATTGCTGAAAGTGTGCTGATTCAGGCCCTTTGCTGCAAGCACCAGCTGAAGACCACCGGTACGCACACACCCCGCATGCAAAGAAACATACATAATCAAGCATATTGCTTTTTTGTCTATCGAAGTGTGTAATTCGAGATTTTGCGTACAGCGCGAGTTTTCCAGGAGTAGAGTCTTCAGCCATAGACAGCACTGCATTTCCGTGTTTGATAAACCGGTGAGAACAATCAGTGAATTGGTCTTCACATAGTAACGTCTTCAAGCAGAGATTAACATCTAGCTTTGTGCCGGACACAAGGTTGAAGTTCATCGAAGACTCTTTGGCAACATTCAGGTATCTCACAAGCATATATGCAATCTCATCGCATGAACACATAAGTTTGTCCCAGTAGCGAGTGATTCACCATCGTGGCTGATGTTATGGATGTTTCAAATCCAGTCTTTCCGTTGAAGGGTCCAATTACACTGCTTAGGCCAATTGATTTTTCGCCAAGTGCCAAAACTTTTCATCTGAATACTTACAGATCTTACAGTCCCCATTAACCGTGAATGTGACTTGTTACTTGTACAATGCAGCTGGTCAAAGTCTAAACAAGCCAAGGTTGAACTAGCATAATCTCTGGGTGTCTTTAAGAACTGCTTGATGTGTTAGTCCGCTAGTCTGAACAACACAAGTGACGGGATTGGTCATGACGTTGACAACTGTATGATGAAATGTTTCGCCAAAGAATCAATACGTGGAGCATGGCGGGTATGTCACATCACCAGCAACCGTAATAGTAACAATGCCATCAAAACAGGAACTCAAACAGCACAGCATTGACAGTGTTGAGTTTCCGGGGTGCCTACGGAGAACCGTATGATGACTGGTAACAGAACAGTAGGCTCGAGGTGGCAAAATCCAATTATCAACCCGATTGTAGTACTACTCAACGTTTTGAAGTTCAGCCAGGTTCCCTACCATGGTTTGTTGCCGGGGGCGGGGTGAGCTGATATATTTATAGAATACGTATGCATATATACTTCCTTTATGTATTTCTCCACACTTTCATACACATAGGATGGTGAAGCACCTGCCAAATCGTGCATCGTGGAATCTCGAGAGATGCTTCAGGCACAGGCGGCAAGGTGGAAAGCTCCTTGCCACAGGTATCGCATGCTATCACGCTAACAGACGGAAGTTCGATTCTGTATCTCGCAACAGCTACCATCACTTCTGTTGGGTCGGAAAAGGTCGCGCCGACCCGTGAGCTCGCCGCACAGATCCACCGGGAGGCGGGCGAGTTCAATCCTTCAGGGTGCCAGAGCTGCAAGGTATCCAGGGGAAGTGTCTTGGTGTCCGACATGGGAACTCTTGCGCCCCCGTTGCAGAAGAAGCCGTGTAATGGTTCGGAGCTACAGGACGAGAGCACAATAGACTTCGGAACTCTCGCACAGAAAGCAAACTTATCAGCCTTTCAGCCACTAGCGGTGTTCGAAGAGCTAACTTGATCTCGAAATTTGTCGATTCAATAGCAGCCTCAATTTCTTTTGTCGGACTTCTTGACTGAAACGCTTGCCATGCGCATGTAGGCAGACCGGTTCGCACGCGGCTGCCGCGCATCTCGGAACAACATGAGCTCACTGGCCTCAGAGCTGGAGTTCTTTCTCGCGAGTCACATTAATAGCATGGCAAAACACGCCATGTGCATTTGTGTACACATGTATGCACATGTGTGTATACATATGTATCTACATACATACACGTAGAGATGCTCGTGTGCATAAACGAAGATATTCTGTGGATCTGTCCGGTAGCTGCTAGTATGGAAAGCTCAAGTCGGTTGCAGAGCGGCCCTACACCTCGCGAGGCCGGCTGCGTGCATGGCGGAACCGCCTGGGAGCCCCAGGCGGCCCTCCTGGAGGCCGAGAGCGGATTGGGTTAGGTCGATTAAGCGATGAAGCTTGCAGGAACAGAACCTTTTAAAGGCTTTCTCCGAAGCATGAGAGCCTTCTGCAAGGACAAGCTCCATACCGTATGTCGGGAGGGTGCTGAAGCGGATCCAGCTTACACTCGACAATTTGTGTTTTCCTTCCGTGTCTGCTGTAGGATAAGCACCTGCGCTCCAGAACTATCCGAGTTTTGTTGTACCTGTGTATTCATGTTATGCAAGTCGGCCTGAGAGCTACTTGATGCCCTTCTTCTCGAGCAGACGGATCGCACCTTTCGCTGCGCTAGCAATCAAAGATCGAAGAACTCGTTCAGTCGCAGATTGTACGGAGCCTTGTTCGTTTGCTATTTCGAAACCGCTGATCCATCAGTGTTTAAGAGGCCGGCTTGGAGCTTTTGGTCGCAACCCCTGGACGGCCGCTTTACTGAAGTATTCAGAACAACACAGTAGACCACAGCGATGTGCTCATTGGCTCCAGGCTCTTGAGTTTTAGTTGCAATGCCGGCTTATGGTCCAACCTCTGCTGGCATCGAAGCAAGCAGTAGCATCGTGCCCAGTATCAGTGATAGTGCAGTCAGATAGAAATGGTGGCTGTCCTAGTCTTGAGTCACTGTAAACGGCAAAGTGAGACCACAACATGATAAGTAAGCCATCACCAGGAGCAAGAGTTCAGAAGCAGCAGTCGCCGTCGTTGTCAGTAGTACTGTTATTATAAGGGTTATCGCTATACTTATTTTTTCTTCGTAGTCGTCGTCGTAGTTTTTGCAGCAGCAGTAGTCGTAGGCGTCGGCGTAGGCGCAGTGGTAGTAGTAGTAGTAGTAGGAGTAGTAGTAGTAGTAGTAGTAGTAGTAGTAGTAGTAGTAGTAGTAGTAGTAGTAGCAATAGTAGTAGTAGTAGTAGTAGCAGCAGCAGCAGAAGCAGTAGTAGTAGTAATAGTAATAGTAATAGTAATCGTAATCGTAATCGTAATCGTAATCGTAATAGTAATAGTAATAGTAATAGTAATTGTAATTGTAATTGTAATTGTAACAGTAATTGTAATAGTAATAGTAATAGCAATAGCAATAACAATAGCAATAGCAATAGTAATAGTAATAGTAATTGCTGAAAAAGTGTTTAGAAGTAGTAGCAGCAATAGCAGTAGCTTTAGAATACACTGTTTCGCGTTTCATTGTGTGAGACTGTCGCAAAGTTCCTCAACATCCAACACCTCCAAATGGGGCCGTCGGCTTTCAGACGTTGCGGGGGTTTCAAGCCCGTCAGAATTTTGGCAACATGATGTCTCTTTTGTTTGGCATCTCGCAGGTTGCCGAACAGCCCTTATAGGCTCAGAACACCCAGTGTATTTCAACTACCCGGACTGTTCAAATCCTGACATCTGCAGAACTGTGCTCAGAGTTTGGATATGTTGGGTATTCTGGGGCACCTTTGAGCCCTGCCGATGTTTCTTGGTCCTGACCTGTACAGAGCTTGCTGGCCTACTCCTTTCGACAGGTTGGCCTTCCTCATGGCGCGGGGAGGTGAGGCTGCGGCCACAGCGGCCTGGGTCCTGGAGAGATTCTTAAATGGTGAAATTACAGGTATAGGCTTCTTTTAGCAGAAGCGTATTATCCATGGGCGTCCACTGTCCGTGAATGCTTCCAAGGCCACTACAGATTTTTCATCCATACTTTCGATTTTTTAGATCCTAGGTTCCTATAGATGTACCAAAACGCTGTTTTCTTCGTTAAGTGATCCGTTGTTGTGGTTGAACACAATACGTTTATGGTGGTTACAAGACTGCCTCAATTTAATTTGTTTGGCGCTGTGATACCATTGGCTCTCTGCATAAGGCTTGTCGTGCCTTCTTTCGGCCACGCGTAAGGATGTCTGCATGTTCGTAGGCATGTAAATCGCAAGGTTCGCCAAGCATTCAGGGCAAGCGTCTTCCCGCGGGGCGTATCGCCACCTATCGCAATAATAAGCTGTGCCATGCTCTGTTTATGTGTTCACTTGCAGCATCTTGCAGCTGCTCTATGGGAAGAGAATGCATCATCGTCAGCATCCATTCAGTCTGCACAGCTTTGTTAGAAGACTCTTGAGAGGGATGTCAATGTAGGCCGGCGCTTTTGGCTCGCTTGCCACGAGTGTTTTCTGCTTCCGCCGAGGCTCGAGCCATCGCGTCCTGCGGTGCACGTGGCTTGCTGGCACCCGGAAGGAAAAGTCTCCGAGTCTCGATCATCTCCGCAGATCACAGGCAAGCAGCTGACCGAAGCAGTGGCCATCTTCGATCTCTTCGTCGCGCAAAATGGCAGCGGCAGCCCCACGCGCCACTTATTCTCATCATTTCTGCTGCTTGGACTTGAGGAAAACGTCGCCGCCAGAGGGCTTTCCGTTTCTTTTCATGCACCAGCCCCACTCATGGCTTCTCATGCCCGGTAACCGGAGCAGGTAGGCATACTATGAAGCTGCTCGCCCAGAGTGTTGGGAGCCTGATGTACGCTGCGCAGTCCACATCGCCCAGACCTCGCGACTAGGAACGTGCACGTTCTTTGTGGCGATCTCCGCGGCGCTGTCCAGGCCAGGAGTGTGTAGGACCAGATACACCAAACTCAGGATGTTTGAGAAGCCGAAATTTCTGGAAAATCCAGAGTATTCTGTTGAGCTCTTGTCTTTCTGCGAGGTCGCGGCGAAAATGCAAGAGAATGATTTGCCGCTCGGGGTAGTCGAGCAACATGGCTGGGAGTTGTACATTTCAGGGGGGGGAGGTGTGTGGGAGCGGCACGGTGGCGGGACGGGCGCCGGCCTCTTAAAGACACGCATTTCCATATGTATAGGTATGTGTACATACTCATGTACGCGCAAGACGGCAGAATATACTATGATCGAAAAAGACTTATATGATATATGGTATAACAGAATACCACGTTTTGGGATATTACTGTATACTGTATAACGCACTATTCTAAATAGATTGTATAAAATGAGAAGGTACTACATAAAACAAATCAGAAACGACTGTAATGCAATGTAACATGCTCTGAACGGCAAGTACAATACAGCACGGCATAGTTGAGCATTATATGGTATACTACATATACCTCTATATGATTACATGCTTGTGTAACACACTTCATGTATAAGAACATTACGTCAGTATTCTATATTTAGTATACAAAACGTATACGATACAAGATATAACCGATATCAGATAACAGACAATAGAGAACATGCAGGATCTACAATGTGCAATATGCAGTTCACAACATGTGATATGATATGCCCTCTGTAATGTGTTGTATATGTATATATCTCTCTGTATATACACATGTATATGTTACATGTTGCATATTATGTTAAAAAGTCTTATGCATTGCATTTTATGATATGGTATGCATATATATATATACATATACATGTACATGTACATATATATATATATATATACCTGGCACCGCAGACGCCTGTAAATAAAGCGTCGTTTTGGAAAATCTGGTTTCCTATATATAGAATAAGAATAACTGGTTTTCCCGGACCTACGCCCGTATATCTAGATTCTGGGGTTATTGAGGGTCAAGGATAGGCCACGTGTTTAAATCTCATGGGAAGTGCGGTGCTCTGAAGCCAGTTCATACCCGCCGATCGCGAAGTTCTTTTTCCAGGCACAGCATGCGGTGAATCAGGTGATACATTCGGTATCTGAATAGGTGCACTGATTATTCAATGATTGTAACTCCAGGTTCCATACAATGCAGAGATTTCCAATACACTGTGCACCGAAGTTAAGACTGTAGTGGTATACCCTTCGGACTGTAGTGTATCGTACTTGAATGCTCCACCTCTACCCAAGTTAAGACTATAGACTATAGTGGTATGCCCTTCGAAGTTTAGTGTAATGTACTTGAATGCTCCACCTTTTAAGGCCTTCTGTGCGTACCCATGCATGTCCTCGTCCGTGCTTCCACATTGCCGGGCTGCTGATCTTCGTGGCTCAGGCAGGTTGCAGTGGTAGTCCTGGGATTCCATGAATGGGGAGTGGAGCCAATAGGGGCCAAGATCATGGCTTTGTGTGAATTTTGCAACCGGAGAGATTGGCTGATTTTGGGTTCTGGTAGGAGGTTTTGGGGCTTTGACCCTCTGCCCACTAAGCTACAGCCCCACTAGAACCTATAACCTGTAATCACGAATCCCCTACCGTGCTACATAAAAGCCCTTAAAGCCCTTAAAGCCCTTAGACGTATAGTCGGATGCCAGGTGAACCATCGGCTTGGCTCTCATCGTGATGGAGACCTCGGAGGCGTGGTGCCAGTGAGGATGTGACATGTGCACACATACACACAGAGACGAGAACCATACACATTTCATGCATGCATGCATATATGGAGCATGTATATACATGCACACATACATGCACAGCATGTGATCTGCTTGCATGAGCATCAGAAACTTCTTTCACGCACAGCCATTTGGCTTTTGATCCTGTGGTGTATTCAGATCGATCGTTGCAAACATGGTGAAGCGTCAGGCAGACCTGACGACTTTAGGGCAAAAGTTAGAGGACATCCGCGCCTTGAGGAAGCGTGTGGGAGACGGCAACAGTTTGATGATTGCGACTTCACCAGGTTGTATGCAGTGCATGGGCACCTTGAAGGATTGTTCAGCGAACTACGAGCCTTTGCGTGCTGTTCTGCGGTGCATGCTGAAGTCGAAAACCATCGACAGCCCTTCTATTGATGCCTTGTTGATTGAGTGCCAGGGTTTCCTAGAGCTTTGCCACTACCCGGAGCCCGAACGTATCCCGGCTTTGGCATTGCGTGACGCTTGGGGAATCAAACGGAGTTTGACTACGTTGAGAAGGAAGTGGGCGAGACCCGAGATTCCGAAGGACTCCGTTCAAGTCTCTTGCTGATACGTGCATGCCATCATTTCTGTGAAAGTTCCATGATCCATGGATATGGTTATTTCATGAACTCACATATACGGGAGTCTTTTTATGATCGTCTGCAGGACCCACAGGTCCGGCTGTTGGTCAAGATGTATGACACGATTACTGAGGCAGCTTTGGCTGCTTCTATTCCGCATCTATGCAGGGCCTAGGGCTGCTCTGTATGTGCAATGATGATTTGAACATGCATGTACTGAGTTTTCTTGAGTGTGCATGTGTCTGAGTACGGATTCTCTATACTATGTAGGTGTGATTGTGTGTTGTCGTGCTTAAGGTATTAGCATGCATGGTGCAAAATTTCCCCCAGCCCTGAAATAAGGACGGCATCCACATTCCCCGCCGGGCAAGCACAGAGGAGGATGTTGGTCACGATGCAGCCCCGGATGGAGATGAAGCTTCTGCTGGTGATGCTGTCTATGAGCTGGGTGCTGATGAGGTTGAGGACGATTCACGGCTGGTTGTGCTTACAGGCGATTCCGCCGCATCCTCAGGACATACCACCCCAGCTGGATCAGTAGCGCCAGCAGGTGCAAGTGAGCCCATCGCTGGTGAGTCAACAGAGCCAACAGGTCCAAGTGAGCCCATCACTGGTGAGGCAACAGAGCCAGCAGGTCCAAGTGAGCCCATCGCCCGTGAGTCAACAGAGCCAACAGGTCCAAGTGAGCCCATCGCCCATGAGTCAACAGAGCCAACAGGTCCAAGTGAGCCCATCGTCCGTGAGTCAACAGAGCCAACAGGTCCAAGTGAGCCCATCGGTTCTGGGTCGGCAGGGTCATCAGGTCCAAGTGAGTTTGTTGCCGGGTCAGCAGGATCTGCAGGATCAGGTGGTGGCCCAGCTTGGGTTTCTGACACGACAGGTTTGGCGCAGTTGATCCGAGAGCTTCAGGATGAGGTCCTGCAAGGACTTCTGCTCCGGACAGAAAGGATCTGAAGGAAATGCTGGCGTTGAGCAGGGCGAAGCTTCAGGCTCAGGTTCTGTCGCTTTGCTGTATAGATCTGCAGTGGTGTGGAGTTGTCTGGGACTGCTGAGTCTTGTGTGTGCGTGTGCGTGGCACCTTGACTTTTATGTAGGATCATGCAGAGACTTAGTTTGTAGCTAAGGCTTCGCGAAGAACGTGCAGCAGCCGAACGGTCAAGCCTTTCGGCAGTTCGTTTATGTGTGTGAATGCAACATGTCCATTGGTATGATTTTGGGAAGTTTGTTGATCTTAGGAGCAGATGCCCTTCGTCGCATTCAGGGCCCACTCGTCGTGGACTCTGATGATGAGCCAACATGTCCTGCGGTTCCAGGACCTGTTGTTGGAACTGATTGCTTGGACACCCAAATGTTCGTGCCGGACACTCAAGTGGTTATGGACTGTCTCTTCACTGAAGAGCAGCAGCTGTTGGAGACCCCTCCTTCCCAACCTGTGGCACGCAAACTCTTCCATGAGGATGCGCCAAAGCCTGATCTCCCGTCTGTCCCGGAGCCAACCTCCTCAACTGGAGCATCCACAGGTGCTGGTTCCCCTGCCCAGCCTGCTGTGGTTTCCCCGGCTACAAACCCGACACCGTCACCTTTGCCTGCGGAGGACAAGTTCCTCGAGTTTTCCCCCCCCAAGGTCGGATGTTCGCGAAATGCAACCACATAGTCACCTTGCATACATGCACTTACATGTTTGCGAAACCTCTTGTGTGCCGTGGTACCGTGGGAGTTGTCGCAGGGTCATGCTCGTGCATGTGTGTTCTGATTGATATCAGGTGGTTACACGAAGTGATCAACTCGGCCTGAAGCGCACCAAGAAGGAGGGAGAGGAGGACTCTGCGCCGAAGAGGGGCAGGCCTCCGACCAAGTCGAAGAAGGGCAAGGCCAAGTGTGCGGCCAAGCCGAAGAGTGAGGGGCGGGTGAAGGAACGAGCATCTTCGAGCAAAGATAAGCCTGATATGGTTTCATGTGGAGAGACCGAAGTCAAGCGGTCCCGAAAGTGCAAGTCGGCGGCTGCGAAGGAATCCTCTGAGCCTGGCCAGGCAGGTGCTACGGAGGATGACGTGCATCCTGACGCTGGGGCCGAAACCGGCCCGCAGAAGCGCAAGGGCAGAGGCAAGGGCAGGGGCAAGGGCAAGCGAGCCCGCATCGATTCGGATCCGCGACCGATGATGATGGCTTTCCCTGTGCCTGAGTACAATGATGGGGCTGATGCTGAGCCTACTTTCTCAGCGCCGGTGATGGCAAACGGCCGTTCGTCACTGGCCGTCCATCCAAGCACGGAGCAGATCGAGCAGGCTGCAGCGCCTGCAGCCAAGAGCCGCAAGCTTCGCAAGAAGAAGAAGGGCAAGCGTGCACAGGCAAAGGGTCCCGCGACTGCTCCAGCAGAGAGCGCAGAATGTGTCCCGGGGTCAGAGATGCCAGAGGCTGGAGAGTGTGGCCCCGGGTCAGACGTGCCAAAGGATGGAAAGGCCGAGGATGATGAGATGCCCAATGTGTTTGCTGGCAGGCGTTGTCCGCAAACCCCGGGGATCAAAGGGTGGCTGATCTGGCAGAACATTGTCAAGACCTTTGTGGAGGTGATCGCCCCGAACCTTCCCGAGAGATCACGCACCAAGCACGAGGCCTGGTAAACCCCCAAAAAGCACCCCCCTAAAACTGATCGAAGTAATTCATGCATCGTGTGAGTGCTACATTGGTAGCATGTGTCATGTGTTGTAGCAGGCATATACATGTATGTGTTCTCGTGTCTACACATGTGGGTTAGTATGTGTTGGTGCCTTTCTTTGTCTCTCTCTCTCTCTCTCTCTCTCTCTCTGTCTCTCCTCTCTTTAATTACTATAATCCTCTGCCTTTGCTTTCTCTTTAAGCCCGCTGCTCATCCTGGTCAGTACGAGTACTGGAAGCGGGCCAAGAAAGCTTTCGATGAGGATGACTCTGTGATCACTGAGAAGGACTTTAAGATCTTCTTTTTGGTGCAATCCGAGCTTTACGTTCAAGAGGAGCTGATTCCGGGCTTGCAGGCCGGATTGTCGGGAGTGGGGTAGATTGGCACAATGCTGTGTAGAGTCGTTGGGATATGGGGCTTTGGGTGGGTTCTAGAGTTTAGGTCTATAGGTGTTTGGTCCTCTAGGATTTAGAATTTTAGGGCTTTAGAGCTTCTCAACCCAAACCCCCAATTGAATATCATGCACGTACCAAAACCTACAAACCCCTAAACCCCAAAAAGCCCTTAAACTCTGTAAAGGTGGGCAACGAGTTCTACCACAATGATGACTCTGACTGAGTGCACAGCTATCGGTCTGATGATCCAGATTTTGAAAGCACTTCTACTAGGACACTAGGAGTGCTGAATGGTTTCGAGGTTATCGGGGATAGGATGGCAGTGCTGACGTTCAAACAAGGAAGTGTGGCCTGGGCTGCTTAGAGAGCGGTTCTGGGGAATCATTCCTGCGGTCCCGCCATATTCTGTGTTTGTGCCGTTGCTGCTAGCTTAGCCAAGGCTTAGAAGAGCGGCCTTGGATGTGTCAAACTCCTCCAGCTGGGATCCTGACTTTAATGCAGTGTGCGAACACGCTGCAGAGCCGCCATCTCGCTGAAGAAAACCACCTCGCTATTCATATCTGCATGTGCGTACAGAGAAACTGGGTAGCGAAGCAGGTCTGAACACGCAGCAGCCAGAGTCAGATGTTCTGCGTGACATATTTAGAGTGGGAAAACAGATTGCAATCTCTCTGCCATGTGGTTTGATCAAAGCATGGATTCATTGCTTGGACAGGTCATCTGGGTGCTGGACAATGTCGTTCAAGCGCAAGCGAGGCCTTGCCAGATCAGGCGATGTTCTGTCATATGCTGAAACAAGAGCTGCTGGCGGTAGACCGGGCATGTTTCAGGCCACTTGTCGCAGTGCTGCAGTCAGCATGTGTCTGCCATCTTTGCTGGTGTGCTGGCATATTCATTGGTGCATCGATGGTGTGGTGACTTGAATGTGCAGCGACTGTTGCATGCGTAGACATGTAGATCAAGCCGAACAGGTGACATGTGTATATCGATATCGAGATAGAGATTTGGCTAGTGTAGTGGCATTCAACCTGTCAAGCATATACAGAATGGACAAACTTTTTCTCATGTCAACTATCAACCTGTAAACGCAAGCCCTACACAACCTAAACCCGTATGTAGCCTATAGACCCGACACTGTCCTAAACCTGCGCAAGGTGCAACGCCCTCACCTTGAACTCGATTACCTATTAAGCTTAAACTGCTAAAACCCTAGAGACCTGAAAGCAAATCCTGTAAGTCTTCCTGACTTGCCCGGCTACAAATTTTAGGAGCATTCCCACCAACCATGCCTCGTCCGAGTGAAGATGTACTTGTGCCACGGCTGTTCCACCTGGGTGCGCCGAAAGCACTCTGGCTGAAAATTGGGTTTAGTCAGTTTGGTCTACGAATACAGATTCAACTTCATGTTGATGTGTCTTTATGACTGAGCATCCTACATGCTTCATTCTGGCTTACTCTTCATCTAAGATGTTGGTGCTCTGTGTCCTCTTGGTTCTGTGGAATGATGATCTGTGGCTGAACAAGGACTGCGTGCTTGCTGATTCTAGATACATCTGTGGCTAGGCTGACCGCAACTAGAAGCTCAGCATGGGTTACTTGTAACCCAGGAATTTCAGTTTGCTCTGGTTTGCTGGTTTTGCAGGAGCCCTTGGACTTCATCGAGCACTTCTCCGGAAAGGAAGTTTTGATCAATCAAGTTCAACGAGCTGGCTTCCGCGTGGCCTCCGTAGACATTATTCATTCCCGGGGGATGGATATCTTGAAACCATCAGGGTTTGGGAGACTTTGGCTGCACGTTATGGGTTCTGCAGTTGTCGGTTTCAATTTGATTGTAGTGACTTGCTTTTTCAGAAATTCTCTGCAGGACTTTCCTGGTTTCAGCCTTAATGGGCAAAGAGTCTGGCTATTTGGACTGGCTGGGGATCTTGTGCTCCAGCTGGGTGGACGTGAGCCGTGGAAGCACTAGAAGAACCTGGTGCAATCCCATGGGTCACACCGAGTTTCCCTCAGTTGCCCGCGGTAATCTTATGGCGTCCCGGTGCCTTGAAAGATCGAGTGTGTGTGTGTGTGTGTGTTGCATGGCACATTGCACCATAACACATCAGTTGCTTCTTAGTGTATACTTATTCATGCGTGCATACATGTACCATGCGTGTACATACCTGCCTCTAGAACACATACAGTTCAGCTGTATCGCAGCTTTGAGCAAGCAGCTTAGGTGTGCTTTGCTGTGCTTGGTCATCGTCGCAACCGGGGGTAATTTCATAGTCGAGCAGCCAGCTTCGAGTTTGCTGTTCAGACATGACAGAATGCGGTGGCTTTGTCAAAGATTGCGAGCTACGTGCCTGCATATTGACATGTTGAGTGTGTGCATGTGTGTGCGTGTGCAAAACTGTGCATTTCAAGCACTTGCCTGTCAGGTCTATAAGGTGGCCCTATGGATGGGCCAGTTCAATTCCAAAACACCTAAACGAACTATGTTGTGGTCGAGCACTTCTATTGTATCGTTGTTTTTGAACAAGCGGTTTTCATTGAAACAATATCGAGCGGCAGCGAAGAAGAAGAATTCTGTTATCAAGCCAGTTCGTCGTTACAAAAATGCCAACGGCTGTGCCTGTTGGACTGGCACTACACAACTGAAAGACACACAGTGTCTCTGCTAATATAGGATGCTTTTCTTGGGGAGGCTTGATGTAATGGAAGATCTTAATAGAACACCACCATTTTACACTAACTGGCTTATTCTAGCTAACCCTACACCACATAACTTCAATCCTTGTGTCCTGCAAGATTCGTACCGGGAGCAGCCACAATCAAGCCCAAAGCAAAGCCAATCCCCAAAGCCTACGCCAAAGCCCTTTAGGATATATGGTCTTGGAAGCCCCATATACTATATATACATTTTACTGACCGAAAGTTTGCTTCTCTTCAGGACCTATCCCATGGGTCTCGGCAAGCGCTTGGTCAAGCTCCTGGCCCTGCTGAAGATGACTGTGCCACCTGTCGAGGTTCGAGGGCACGGTGACGCAGTGGAAATGTTTAGGAATGCTGACTACGAGGGGGACGACTGCTCAGACGCGGAACTCAGACAGGTTGTGTATTATCTACGTGGATGTAGAGGGCTGAAGATCCCACAAAGATGGAGACCGTTGCTGCCAAAGGTCATCTAGAGTCTCTGTATACTGCATGTTTCACAATTAGTGATAGATGCCTTGATGAGGGCACTTTCAATTGCAGGAATGCCAAGCAAGGTTCTCGATCTGACTGCCATGGTGAGTATCCAGAGGTGCTGTATCTAAGAACCTGAAGCCCAAAGCCAAATCCAAAGTTCCGTATATCCCATAAGTTTAGAGTACGTGGAGCCATACCCAGACTTCCTGAAACCCTGATGCCCTTGCACCTGATCCTAGAACGTCAGGTAATCTAGCCCCGTAAAACCGAAGAGCCCTGAAAACCCCCTGCTCATAATCCTGAAGTCCCTGTCTCGGAAATACCAAACCTAGCTCCCAAGTAACTGTATCCCTTAAATTGCCCCAGCTACCTAGCTCGAATGATTGAAACAAGCTTGTAAGCCTTAAACCCTACGACTATAGATATCTCTGCGGACTGAAGTCCTTACTTGACCTCCATTATCCACGTAGCCTCCAAGCCTTATCCTTACGAACACTGCTTTACATGCACCCTGCATTTCAAGACAGAGAACCTGCGAAATTTGTGACGCTTGTGTGTGCAGCTACAAACAGGTCACCTACCTACAGTTGCGAACCAGACAGTCGGCATAAAGGAAAACAAAGCCTGACTACCCACTCTGTGCCTCTTGAACCGATCAGAAATCTGTTGCCACCTCAGCAAGTGCAGCTTCGCTCTAACGTGGGAATTACTTGGGTGTCCTCTGTATGTTCTTGTTTGTTTATCGATCGAGACTCAAGAGTAACCGGGTAAAGGTTGTATATAGCTAACACATGCATGATCCTTTTAGGGGCCTGGTAGACGGTGCTTCTGACTACTGCAAGGTTTAGTTTCGTGGGTCCTCGTGTTCTCTTGCTTCAGGACGGGTCTGGGTGATCTTTGTGTGTAGATCAGAAAGTTTAGCTTTGCTTTTGGATTCCTGGCTGTTTCAAGTGGATGCGATGGTTTGAAGAAAGGTAGCTGTTCATCTTCCTGGGTTGCTTTCGAGAAAACTTTATAGCTCTTTCGGGGTGCCTTTTCAGGATTTTTCCGGACTTCTGTTGTCTTTTCGTGCTTTTTTAAGGTTTTTTGAGCAGGGGCAATGCTTTTGGATGGCTTTTTTGCTTTTCAGGACCAACTACACCCGTATTTGACCGTATAAGCCCGTCTCCACACCCGTATTTGCCACACACGCACCCGTATTTACACCCTCGACACCCGTATTCTACCGAACAAACCCGTATCACACCCGTATTTAACCCGACACGCCCGTATTTGCAATTAGGGCACACCCGTATTTTACCGTATGGACCCGTACGGGACCCGTACGGAATACGTACGGGACGCGTATTTTTCCGTACGGGGATTGCTCGGTTTTCTGGGTCCTGAGGCTACGGTGTAAAGTCGCCCCAAACCAAGAACTTTGGAGGCCTGATGGTGATCTTGTGCCCTGGAACCAGGCTTTTTCGGCTAAGCTGAGGGTCTTGACTGGGCCAGGGATCGTGTAGCAGGCATGGATCAGGCAGCTGTGAAGTTGGCAACAATGCTCCTGAGCAGAGCATGGAGCGGTGGGTCCATGGTCGCAGGCGTTGCAAATGCTGTTGGTCAAGTGAAGCAAGAACTTCCAGAAGCAGACAGTGATTTGCTTTCGATGATCAAGGATCATGGGTTTTCATTCGTGTGGGGCTTCGGGGTCTAGCATATGAGTTCGATCGATAGCATGTAGGCGTAGGGTTCAGCTTCAGTAATAATGGTCTTTATATAGAATAGCATGAACCTACATAGGGTTCAAGACAATACGATCGAGGTCCGTGAAATTACCGACATTCCCATAACCTTCCTCACATGCCTTCATGAAACCCAGACCCACTGGATTGTAGTTCTACATTATACATCCAGGAGCTGGAAGGTCAGCTTGGTGATCTTCCTGCCACAATCAAAGCTGAACCTGCGACCACACCATCATCCTTGGAGACTCTTCCGGCAACTACCGAAGAGTTGCAATCCGCTGGGCGACTGGCCGTTTCGAAAGATACGCCGTCCACACCCAGCCCTGCGCGGCAAAGATTCGGCAACAAGAAGGATCGATGCAATCTAGTTTAACTTGCATGCATGTTATTGTATGTAGTTCATTGACACGATTGAACAGTAGGAGAGCCCCCTTCGAGAAGATCCGTATAGTGCGGCGGTGGAAATCTCTGATGATGAGAGTATGCCTTCGATGTCAGTCATGGGCTTACAAAAACCACCATTTCAGCTGCAACATTCCATGTTTCCCAAATATGATCTCGCTCAGGCTTTGAAAGAGAGGCTGAGCAGTGCAAGTGTGTCGAGGCACCCTCGGCCCAAGTCTCCAGGATCTAAAGCAGAGATTTTCAGCAGCCCGCCACCTACCCAGAAGAATCCCAGTCCGAAGAAGACTCCTCCGTTTGCCAGAATATCTGGCAAGTGTGTCTTTATGCTGCAATGATGATCTACATGTATCGATTTGTCATGAGTACTAGTCACTAGTCTGCCCGCACTATTTCTGCATGGAATCTACCATGGAGCTAAGGATGAGCGGGAGAAGATGCTAGAGATGCTTCAGCAACAAGCCAAGATCATCGAAGAACTTCGTGCCAAGAAGAAAGAGAGCCCCTGCAAGACCCCGCGATGCAAGTCTCAGCGCAGCCCCAAAGCAACCACCCCAAAGCACGGCTCAACTACCACCGCATCCCAGTCTTCGAAAGACACCAGCGCAAGCTCTGCTAAGAAGCGCTCGAAAAGCCCCTCGCCTCTCCCCAGCAGCCCACCGAAGAAGCCGAAGACCGAGGCCTCGTTGCCGAAGGTGGGGTTTAGGGTTATCCATGAGTTTAGGGTTCAGGGTGTAGGGCCAGGCCAGGATTTAAGAGCTTTGTTTCTTCACTGTAAAAATATGTGCATGGTCGATCCTGGGCTGAACGATGATCTGCATCATGTACACTTTATCCTGAGCTTTCAGCTCGATGACCTACAGGCTTGTGCTTGGGGAAGCAGATACAGGTCTTTACGCTTTGCATAGGAGTTCGGTCTTTCAGGGATATCCAAGTCTTGTTTGCACTACATGGGTGTTTACAAAATTCTTTGTGAAAGCTTCAGTGGGACATGGTGTATAGAACGGTTTGTCATTTCGTGCTATAAACGGATCGATACGTGGGGTTTGGTTCTGAGCCCTAAACCCGAAACTGAAGATCCACTATTTGTAATAACACACAACACTTGGAAACTCAGGTAACCGAACCTCAAACAGGCCTGCACTCTGGACTAGAAGTTTCACCCGCATTCGCAAACAAACAACGATGAGCAACAAAGCCAATTAGTGATCGCACTTACTCAGGATCAGAACATCAGCCAAGAGCAGAGTGATGATCACGATGAGAAGTTCTGGAACCGGATGCGGTCCAAGGTGAACCGGATGTGCTGTATGACGCCCGGAGGCAAGTTGCAGGTGAGTCCAGACATCCACGAGATGTGGAAACAAGCTGGAATGGTCAGAGACAACTTAGTGTCTCTCATGGCAGAGGCAAATGGAGATCGAGACTCTCGCTTGCACCCACGTACCATCTCAGATATGTAGAAACACTGGAAACTCATTTTCCCATCAAGGCAGTTTTCGTGCGGAAGGTGGAGCAGTACAAGGAAACCCAGAGGTACCGGAAAATGAAAACAGAGGGGGGGTTCTACACGGAGACCGAGATGCGCAAGCCCGTGTCTGAGGGAGGCCTTGGATTTACTGCGCAACTCAGCTTGGTTTTGAGGCTTGGTGTCCAAGTGGAGTTCATGTGGCCACAAACTCATACTGATGTCTTAGGAAGCGGGTCAGTGGCATCATAGCGTGGTGCGAGCAGAACCCAGGGCACACACGGAGCCCTGGACCAAACCCTTGTGTGCAGTCTGGCTCTCTCTCTATTGTCCTAATCTATTTTTCTGTCTTTTGCTAAGGGAAAACAAGTACGACGGTGACACGGAGTACTGGGTGGACATCAGAACCAAAGGTGTCCGAGGCTCTAAGGAGACGGAAGGTCTTAAGGATTCTACGAGCACCCAGGGTGAGGCCTCTGGCATGGGAGATACCTATCAGCCCGGCAAGCTCGATGAGGGTTTTGATCTTCGTGGCCATTCGTCGGCTTCTGTGGAATCCGGTACAGACAAAGTGCCTGCAACAATTACAGTAGTTACGGTAATTGTGCTATGGGCCCAATGCATGTCAACGGGCTAGGACTCAAGGTTGCCTTGTCCTTATGTCGAGGTGAAGGAGACTATCCAACGATACATGAACGAGGCCGTGACTTCCCGAGACAAGCTGAGCAAGTTCATGGAACGATTGGATCGCAGTGACACATGTGTGAAAGCGAACCTTGCACCTGCATGAAGCTAGACTCCTGTATGCATTCTTTGAACCTGCTGAGAAATCTGAGCTGCTCAGCTAAATCAGCTGAGGGAATGGCCGAAGATGGAGGAGGTCTGTGATCTCCTCGGCAAGTACTACGACGAACTTGCAAGCATGCAAGCGGATGCACGGATCAAGGAGTTCTCTGAGGAGTGGCTTGGCTTCAAAGCCTACTTCCGCAGAGCTGACAGCAACGTGTCTGTGTTGTCTGTGTCGACACTATTCTATCTCTCGATAACCCAAACCTTGTATGCCCCAAACCGAGAAGCCCCTTAAAACTTGAAATCCTGAGATACCTCAAACCACTGAGGCAGCAGAAGCTCTTCACGAAGAAGTGCGAGGATGTGAAACGACAGAATCTCGTATGCAAAATATGATGCAATCACAGAAAGCCTCCACGATGAAGTTTAACTTGCATATGTGTACATATCGCGAAATAGATTATGATAGAAAATCTCAGGATGATTCTGGCTACTTCCATGGAGGTGAAGAACAAGCCGCTTGGATCCTTCTGCCTATCCATGCAGTTTTTCACACCATGTCCGAACCCAGAATAACCCAAACCTCTGTAGGAAGCTGAAGAAAAAGACCGCGCAGAAGAGCAACAAGAAGCGTGAGCCTGAAGAGGAACAAGATGAGACCCCCAAAAACAAAAGGGGTCGCAAGAAGGGACCCAAGGCCAAGGCCGGTGATGCGTAGACGATGGATAATGGGATCCATCTGCCTGGGCCAGAAGAGCCCAACGAAACATGTAGGAAATTTACAGCTCAGGTTCTGCACTTCGTTCCATCTACGAACCCAAACTTCAGAACTTACCGGGAGCCCGAACTCTAGAAAGGTCATATGGAATATACGTTTTACTTGAGTGTGTTTAGACTACCAACTGTTTTAGCAGGGTGCTTAGCAGGGTGCATGGTTCAATATTTTTCCCCTATAGAGCTAGTGCCTTATTTAATCCTATACATAGGTCTCCCGATCGGTACTTTCAAGTGCGGATCCTTTGTTGGCTCCTTTGAAGTCATGGTGCCTGTGACGAAGTTACATCAGGGCCACCATGAACATGTTCGATGAAATTGAACATGCAGGTTCTCGCAAGTTGTAGTGTGTGCAACAAGCAAGTCTGTATGGACCCTTTATGAGCACCGCTTGAGAAACTTCATCATTCACCGAAAGTTGACCCTAAAGCCTAAGCCCCAAACCCTGAGTCCTATAAGAAAGAAAATTGCTATAGTGCTCTTTTCGAATCGTATCTGCTTTTAGAGGTCCAATACGACTCCCATGTGACAACTTGCAGCATGCAAAATCCAGAGATCTGGAAGGCTGCTTCGCTCTGACCAAAGAAGCAATGTGGTGGGGCTGATCGAGAACATCGTTAGACTAGGACATGTGTCCATACGCTCAGTTCACTGCATTGCCAGGTGATACGACCCAGAGCCGTGCAAGCGCCCGGACCGAGACGCTGACAAGAGCCCTGGCCACTGGAGCCGCAACCTCAGGCCAAACTGTCGGTGGTGCACAGTGTGTGAGATTAAACAATATCACAACTGCTGTGCGAGCTGATCGTAATGCATCCATCTTTAAATTTTGTCTGCACTGTGTGGTGGCCCAGAGTTTTGTTTGTGCAGTCGGAAAGAAGAGCTTGCCCCAGCCATTAGCAGTGCCTACAAGAAACAGTATCTATATCGAATTTAAAGCAGCTAGTCTGTCCCGATGTAGCACAATATTTTTCGATGCTACCTATAACCTGGCCTCAACCCCAATATCTTGACTGCGCGATCACATGCCATGCGGCTGAAAAGACCAATCGATGCGATCTTCCCCTGGGGATCGGACTCTGAGTCCGAGGAAGTTCTCCATCCTGTGAAACGAGTCATATGAATGCACAAGGCTTCTTTGCAGATGGTATTTCCTACAATTGTCTGCCCCAAACCACGCTAGCTGGCAAAGTCTTGAAGCACTGTCAGAACTGTGTTGAGAAGCTTCGGATGGCTACTGGTGGAGAATCGTTAGCGATCTTCAAGATTGGAATAACCCATGATTGCGGTGCTCGTTATGAACTTTACCAACGCAATGGCTACACGAAGATGCTTGTTTGCCACACAAGCAACGAGCTTGCCACGGTCGAAATGCTGGAAAGTGCTTTGATCGCCATCTACCAGCACAAACGTCAGTGTCGCAATATCCAACTTGGTGGTGAAGGAATGTGAACGTGTTCTTTCGAACCAAAATTCGAACCTCCGTACCACTGCTACTGTGTTGCTGCAAGAGCCGACCTGCCTAGGTGGGTCCGAGATTAATGATTCGACCCTTGACACCATAATCCTGGCTCTATCCCAATTCTGCAAGAACTCAGGAACCCACAGCTATGTAGCAATGTGCATGCGTGTATTTATATAATTTCAATTCGGTGTACAGTAATTCGCTTCACGGATAAGCCCCATGCGAAGAAAAATCGAAGTCTGCACTGTGTATGCATCCTTTGTGTGTGCTGCATGCTTCCCGCTTGTACTTCCCTCCTAGCCGCGCCGAGGCCTCTGGCAAACACGTGGCCACCATCGCGAAGGCCTTGGCAACCCCGGGGACTGAATGCGAGGCTGTGGCGGATTTGGCCAGGGCACCCTTGACAGATGCTGAGAAATCCCTGCAAAAGACTCTGTAAAATGGGATCTGACTCTCAATGTTCCCTGGACATACGTGAATCTTTCTGACGATTGCTCTGTACCGATGCTTATGCCATCAGCTTATATTCGCACTTTGGTCGAGAAGGGCTACTTGCACAAGTTGCTAGGTGGCTCTGTTGCTAGCAGCACCGTGTCTGCACAAAGCAAACATCTCTGCACATAGTGTCCCTAATCACCAACCCTAAACAAAGTACTCTATATGGATCTCCTGCACCTTTAAAGATCTTCTCTAGTCTTCGCTATAAGACAACCCCAATCTAGGCTTATAACTTCCATGCAGTTGCTAAACCACATTATCCTCGTCGAGTGTACGTATCTAAACCTCAAGTGTGGAAGTTCTCCGAATTATGTGGATCGATTTTTAAGATCAAGGCATACCCATATCCTTCGGACTACATACATCCAGGTGCCTTCATCAAGAAAGGATTGTTCAATAGGCTCTTGGGTGCGGGTGCTTCGATTTAAAGTAGGGACTGATACCTGCATCAGGCGAGCTTTCGGGGATGTGTAGTAAATGCCAACATGCAATCGAAGCAGGAATTCTTATCTTGGGGCGAAGTGCTTCAACTTTTGTCAAACAAACACTCTCCCCCATAAAGGTTCTTTTGTTCTATGCCTAAAGAAAACATCCCCCGTGGCTGTCCTTCGAAATACAGTCAAGAAACCCGAGGCTATGAGCGACTTCGAGGCTTCTGGAGCAATTACAAACAGGAGGAGCCAAACCATGAAATATTCGATCACGACTTCCTGGACTTTGGCAACTTAGTCCCTCTGTACATCCACGGGGACGGTGGGAGAACGTATCGTCGTGATGAGTTGATGGTGGTTGCTTTTCAGCCCATTTTGGGCCTGGGCAGCCGTATGTCGAATCCAATGAAGTTGACAACTGGGAAACCCCAAATCAATCTTCAGGGGCATTCGTTTACGACGAGATTCTTGACAGGCGTCATGCCGAAAGGTATCTACAAAGACAACAGCGAACGCTTCGACGCTTTTATCACCGAGACCATGAAGGACTTCGAAGGCCTTTATTTTCAGGGAATGGATATCGGAAACGATCGCGTGCTGCGCTTTATCCCTTTGGGGATAAAGGGGGACCTCCCCTTTTTATCCAAGACAGGTCACTTGAACCGTACCTTTTTGCATATACGCAAGGGGCCGGAAACTGCGAAATCGAAGCCACTTACAGGATGCTGTTGGCTTTGTCACGCTGGATCTTCCCAGTATGATTTTGAGAACTTCAGCTATGAGCCCCCCTGGCTCCAGACTGCTGGCCCGCGTAATCCGCCGCCTTGGGATGCGATGCCACCTTTCTTCTACCATGTGCCACATGTGGTGCAGGAAAAGGCATCCTTTTTTACGTTGGACGTGCTACACATATACCATCTTGGTGTGGGTCGCGATTTTGGGGGGAGCGCCCTTGTTGTTGCGCTTGATGTGTACAACCGTGCGTCTGTTCCGGAGGCGATCGAGGATTTGAATGCTGACTTGCGGTGTTTCTTGAAGTCCACTGGGAAGTCTGTACACTTCCGCAGTCTAACGAGGGACCTTCTCGGTTTCCCATCAGACAGCGCATTTCCTTGTGGACATTGGAGCAAAGCGAGTGACACACCAATCTTGATCGACTTCGCTGCCTGGGTCTTGAAGCAGCGTGGTCAAGACGGTGTACGCTTGCATTCGATTTTGATATCTGCGGCTGGGGCGATCGGGCTGTTCATGAGAACACTCCTGCGGGGGGGCTTGTTTCTTTCCCAGGAGGAGGCCGCGCTTGCAGGTCGGGCGGGAATGCACTTTTTGTCTTGTTATCAAAAGGCTGCCCAGATATCCTTCGACACCCAGAGCTGCCGATTCAACCTCGTGCCGAAACTGCATTGTCTTCATCACATTGCCTCTCGCTGTGTACCAAATCTGCTGCCGGACTTTCTGCAATCTTAAACCCGCTATCACAAGCGACATTTCAAGATGAGGACTACATTGGAAGGGTTTCGCGCTTGTCACGCCGCGTCTCTGCCCGGAAGTTGTGCTTGCGGACTATTCAAAGATACCTGGTGGCTACTCGAGTTGAGTTGGATGCCGAGCGACGATAGATCCCTAACTCGCCTACATATTCCTAACTGCCCAAAAATTCTCAATTAGGGTATATAGGGGTTTCCTAAAGCTAAACCCAAAAAAGCAAATCGTCGGCTCAGAGCCCAGCTGTGCCAAATGCACGTCGCAGCCAGTGAGGCCGCCCAAAACATGGGACTTTGAGGGTTTCCAGGGATATTTCCGAAGACTGCTTCAGGGTGTTCACGGAAACTTCAGTCTAGTCCTTCTAGAGGGTTTAGGGGAGGTTTGACTTAGTTTTTGCTGTTTTGAAGAAGATGTCTTTCTATCGTTGGTTTGAGATCCAAACACCCGCGCTCCATCTACAACAAATCCCGAAATTCCTACAACCCAACGCCTTTCACAGACGACCACCCAAGCCCAACCCGAAAGTCTGCACAGATGCAATGCGAAAGCCCCAACAGTGAAACCTTGTCCTAAGCACGACCCAAACTTCTTAATTTCAACCGCCCAACAACGAGACTCTAACCCAAACCCAATACCAAAGCTCCAACAGCGAAGTCCTTGCCTAAACCCGACCCAAACGTTCTTTCAAGCGCCCCAACAACAAAACCCTTTCCCAAACCCTACAGCCCCAACTCCTAACACCACAACCCAAGCCCCCAAAACCCAAAACAACCATCCCCACTTCAAGATTCCTGATGGTCAATCCCGTATCTATCCTATGTGTGACCTTTAAACCCCCAAAGACTCTACTTCAACTTCAGCACAGGTCACTGTGTAATTGTTCATGATGACTATAGTTTTTATGATGCTTATAGTTCTTAGACTGATCGTCCTTAAAGCCCTTAAAACCCGTCACGCCCGTATTTAGCCACTCGCCCGTATTTGTTATATAAAACCTGGTTATTCTGACACACCTGGAAATAAGACGCCGGAGCCGGTAGCAGGTACACATATACACATGCATGCATGCATGCATGCATACATACATACACACATACAGGCATACATACATACTATATGGCATGTAACATATAACATGCAGTATTATGTGCCAGTAACCTTGTCTCCTAATTATCGGTCTGGTGGGTAGGAATTAGGAGATCAGTTTCGCGATCGTTGGAACAGACTTGATCTATTTTCTCCGTGGCCATTTTGGCGATAGCCGATCGGGCCATACCGAAAAATCGGCGTGGGAGGTGGAAGTGAATAGGCTCGCTCGATCGCAGCCATGTCGTTCCCTCCCGCTGGCTTCCATCAAGGTCGGCAGATGGCGGCTCCGATGGCCCCACAGTTCGGGCTGCCCCGCCGGCTTGGTCAGCCTGAGAATCCGGGCAACTGGGGACACTACGTTCCAGGCGAGGCAGAGGCTCCCGAGAATCCCGCGGCTCCAGCTGCCGCATCCGGCGATTGGGGCTCTGGAGGCTGGGGTCGCGACGATCGTCGTGGACGTCGTGACCGCGGGGCTCCTGCTGCCCACAACCCCTTCGCTGTTCAGCGGCCTGAGTTCGTTCGCCAGGTCGTGGTCGAGGAAGAGGACGAGACCCAGAACTCGCTCCTCGTCATCGACAACCGCGACGACCGGGTGATCTCCCCGTTCCAGAACTGGCTGGCCGAGGAGATCATCTCGAATGCCGCCAGCTCGATCAATGTGCTGACGGAGCGGGACTCGGTCATGCCCCCGAACTCGGGCTACCACTGTTCGCTGTTCGCGAACTATACGCTCGATGGCATCAAGGCCGTTCTGCTCTTTTCGATGTCTTCGAAAACAGGGGGACCATCCTGGAAGTCTTGATGTCCCTTAAAAAAACGTGCGTGCGCCCAAACAAATGTACCTTATTTTAAGGTGCGTTTCAAATGACCGTTAAAAATCGCCGTTTTGCGCCTCTGCAAAAAGTTTTCGTTACAAAGTGGAAAAAACTACCGGTTTGGCCGTGTACAGCGAAATCCGACGTGCCGAGCACTCACAAAACGTTTTCGTTGCGAAGTGGACCAAAATTACTGGTTTCACGGTGTACAGTGAAATCTGACGTGCCGAGCATTGGAAAGTTTTCGTTGCAAAGTGGAATTTTATATACCGGTTTCACCGTGTACAGTGAAATCTGACGTGCCGAGCATTCACAGAGGTTTTCGTTGTGAAGTGGAACTAAAATACTGGTTTCACCGTGTACAGTGAAATCTGACTTGCCGAGCATTTGAAAGTTTTCGCCGCAAAGTGGAATTTTGTACGCCGGTTTCACCGTGTACAGTGAATTCCGACGTGCCGAACAGTCACAAACATTTTCGTTGCAAAGAGCGGTTTCGCCGTGTACCGGGAAATCACGGAACTCGACATGAACTGGGCTATTTGACCCTGTATACACCTGAATTGGTGATTTTGTGCGCTGTGATGAAAAAAAGCCTTAAACAAATCCTTAACTAATTATCCGTCTCATAGCAACCCTACTAATCCTAAACCCCTGAAGCCGAGACGACTCAACACAACATATATAGGCAAACCCGACAACCACGAGCAACTCCAGGGCCTCCTCCAAAATCACCGCGAAAAAAAATAACCGTAGTGCAGGCAAAACAAGGCCTGAGACTCAAAAGCCCTTAGGCGAGGCACTTCGAGAACCCCTCGCTCTCTTCGCTCTCTCTCTCTCTCTCTCTCTCTCTCTCTCTCTCTCTCTCTCTCTCTCTCTCTCTCTCTCTCTCTCTCTCTCTCTCTCTCTCTCTCTCTCTCTCTCTCGATCTCACTAGTGTTTCGGGGAAACGAACTTTTGCCAGGTCCGTGCTGTGCCCGGCACAGTGCACAAATCGAGACGTGTACCAAGCTTGTGCACGCGAGCCTCTCCGCAGATCGAGAAGTGTACCAAGCTTCCACTTGCAAAGCATTTGTGGGCTGCTCGTAAGTTTCCAGCCGTGCTTAACAAAACAAAGCACTACACCCCTAAAGCCCCAAACCCTAAAGCCCGAAGCCCCTAAAGCTCTAAAACCGTAGAATATTCTGGCATGCGCCCTTGCTAAAAATCGAGATGTGCCAAACTTTGAGCTTGCGTGGGTCTTAATTTCGGCAGATAAAGATCGCCATGGCATGGGCCGACGAGCAGGGCCCAAATTCTGCCATTTCAAAGGTGTGCCCTGCCCCACCCGGAGTGTCTGAGTGATCCGTGACTGCATGCAAGGGTGAGATCAGCTGATTCATCGGTCAGTGCATGCATGGCAAGCTGCAAGCATTCGCTATTCGCCGCTATTCTTCCTGTTCGCAGCACTGAGTTTTCATGTATAGTTTGGGGTCTGGGGTATGAAGAAGCATGTGGCGAAAGTTCGTTTCGAGCCATGTGCTGAAGCTAAAGCTGTCGGGCTTGAGATTGCGAAGGAGGAGAGTCTTTCAAGAGCGGCTTTCCAAAATATTCGTGTTAGCACTTTGCGGGATCTGGCGGATTGCAGCACACGCAGGGCCGCTCGAAGACTGAGGTAGGTCTGGCTCTACTTGCTGACACGTCCGGGAAGTTATTGAATCAACGCAGGGCCTGCAGCAGGAAGGATGTCATCGGAAATCCCAGAGCATCTTGTATGTTTGGGCTTTGGTTTCTTGACTTCTTCAGACATGTGCAAGTCTTGCCCTTGCGAAGCCTAGATTATTTCGGCAGCCGTGCGGGGAACACCGATTTCTCGCCGTCGTTTGAGTGCATATGTGTATATGGATGCCTTGCTGTATTACTTCAACAACAATGATGTTCTGCCGAGAGGGATAACGATCCTTACGCCAGCCGTTCGGGACTACGCATGCAAAGCCGGTTTGGCTATGAGAAAGTTGGCTTCTTGGCTGTTGGGGTTCAGGAATTCTGCTTGATGTGGCTCATTTTCTTGCCAGACATGTGGCTAGACCTGCAGGTTACCAAATTCAAACACCTGACCCGCCGTGCTCGGTCTTCGCGGAATGGGGAACTTGCGAAATTGAAGCTGGAACTACGGAAGTATCTGCCCAGCAATGACTGTGAAGAGTCTAGGCTAAACTTAACCAGCTCTGCTACAGCCCTGCTACAAACCTTTATCCTACTGAGAACTCAGGATGACAGCTCTTCTTCCAGCGAAGTCGATGACGAGCATGAGCAGTCTCAGCTGTCTTTGCTGACCGATAATGCCGAAGCTCCCGCTCCTTAGATCATGTTTCCGGTCGGTAGTTGTAGAAGGTGTGCGAGCTTTGTGCGGCAGTATATTAGCTGAGGATGTTCCTACCATCAAGCCCCCGAAACCGGGCGGTCCACTGCCTAGCCGGCTCCAGCATCTTAGCTCCACATATATGTACCTTATCAAATAAGATTCGAAATATCATCCCGTGAGGAGCATTGCTATGCGGATCAAGGGTGATGAAGAGGCTGCTCCAAAGCAGCCTGGGCCTTTATCGACTCGTCTCCAGGGTCTTGCGGAAAAGCTCAAGGCTTCGAAGGGCTCTGCTTCGAGTTCTGTTTCCTCTGGCAGCTCCACAGCTCTACCTGCCAGTGTCGCTTTGAGGAATAGCTTGACGGCTGTGTTGAGCCTTGACCGCTAAGCAATCCGAAACAAATTTTGCTCGGGTAACTCAGGTTCTCGAGAGCCTTCGGTCCGTCACTGCGACCAAGATTCAGCCCATCATCCCGGCCGATCAGCCGCTTGCACGCAGGGAGGTTTGCCGTTCATGTCGCAGCAGCGAGAGCAGCCTTGGCTAGGTGGTGCAAGGAAAGCGATGCCGAAGGCGAAGATGAAAGCTCTCCACGAGGAGATAAGGTGGCTAAGAAGAAGAAAAAACCTAGTAAGAAGAAGAAAAGCAAGAAATCAAAGCCGAAGAAAAAGAAAGCTGTTGCAATCCCACCTGATTGCGAGTACAAAGCCGGCGAGTACAAGGAAGCCCGCCTGAAGTA